ACTGGCCATCCTGACCCTGTTCGTCGCTTCTGCTCCCTTTGTCCTCGTGGAGCAGTGGCCAACGACCCACGAGGAGACGGAGCGACCCCACATTACCTTGAATTCACACTTGAAAAGAACCAGCTGTTCTCCAGGCTCTAAAGTATCATTTTTGTTGTAGTATTAAAAGTACCACATTTTCTACTTTATCCTAATTATGATCCAAAAGGAAAAAACAATTACGTCACAAATTTATGACAATTAGTAAGAGACTGAAAGATTGGTATCACATAATTATATACAGGTCACAGATTCTCATAGAAGATGTGCAAATAAGCACATTTGACTTATATAATTTCAACCATACAGCCCACCATTTTGTAATCTAGGTTTCAAACTAAAAGCTGCACTTTCAACATAGCAAAGAGGGGAAACTGGAAACTGGCTTTTACTATGCCTCTTTCTTTTCTCTAACGATGTAGCCCAGGCTCATGATCCTAAGTGTTTGGATTACAGGTGTTATCTAACGTGCTCTCAGGGTGTGTGTGTGGGTGTGTGTGTGGGTGTGTGTGTGTGTGTGTATGTGTGTGTTTGTGTGTGTGTGTAATAGACATTGAGTCCTCATGTATGGTGGGCAAGCATTTTACAACTAAGCAATATACCTAGCTCCCCTCCTATTTTCCCCTCCTATTTTGAGATAAGGTCTCATTAAGTTGCCCAGGCTGGCCCTGAACTCACTCTGCAGCACAGGCATGCCTTGAACTTGTGATCCTTCTGCTTCAGGCTCCAGAGTACTGGGATTAAAGGACTGGACTGAGTCAACTGCTATGCTTAAACTGTGTCGTTTTTGGTGCGTTGTTATTTTGAGACAGAGTCTCATTTAATCCAGGCTGGCCTTGAACTCTTAATCCTTCTGCCTCTCCATCTCCCAAATGTGGGGATTATACCAACACACTTGGCTTATACTTATTTATTTCTATTTTAATGTGTATGAATGTTTTGCCTGCATGTATAAAAGTGTACCACGTGTATGCAATGACCATGGAGGCCAGAAGAGGGCATTGGATCCCCTTGAGCTGGAGTTACAGACTGTTGTTAACTACCATGTGGGTGCTGGGAATCAAACCCAGTTCCTCTATAAGAGCAGCCAGTACTCTTAACGGATGAGCCAGCTCTCCAGTCCCCATTATGCCTTTTTTAAAAAAACAGTTCACCCTGACTTTATAGCCTAACTGGAATATAAAATTTAAGTTTACTTTTAGACTTGCCAAATGCTTATCTCTAGAATATAATTATTTTACCTAAGCAGTTACCTGATCTTTAGTAATCATGATCGCCTTCCTGGTATCACTTTACAATAGAAGTGAACATGATCAATTGGAAGAGTCTTCCATTCCATAATCCGTGTTGATAACCTTAATTAAAACAATATATGTTATCCTATAACAACCACAAGAATTGAACTCAGGATTATAAAGACATCATAAGAAATGAACAGAGCCCTCTGGGTATTCAGAAGTAAGACTATTAGGAAGTTGTCACATGGTGGAGTGAAAATAACTCTGGTACACGACCACCTTTGGGGATTTGGTTTAGAAATGGTAGAGGGGGAGGTATATTTGAGTGTTCAACAAAGTAGGGTGTGAAGTCAGTATCTACTATGTGACGGACACCAGTAGACAATAGACAAACAACTTTTGTGCATGTGCATGAGGAGGCCAGAGGTCAGCCTTGGCTGTCATTCTTCCCTCAGGTGACATCTCTCACCGGCATGGAGCTCACCAAATCTCTGAGGATGGAGAGCCCATGAGTTCCAGGCATCCACTTGTCTTTGCCTCCTCAGCTCTGTGTGTCACCATGCCTGCTTTTTGTTTGTTTTATGTGGATTGTGTTTTGTTTTATGTGGTGAGCACAGAAATCGGACCCTCATGTTAGCATGGTTAGTGGGAAATATGTGGCATGTTTGCCTGGGAAAGTGACTTTACTAAGTAAGCAGTAACTAACCAGGTAGGAAGGGAAGAATTTCCAGGAAGAGTAAACAGCTCTGAAGCAGAGGGGCCTGAAACTGCCTGATGGATTTTAGCTACAAGTCTTGGTGATCTTGGTGAGAGTAGCTTTCATATAGTGGCGTGGCTAGAAGAAAGGTTCAGGAGTAAATAAATAAAAAAGCAACAGAAGGCAACTTGTAGACATCTGGTTGTGAGGTAGACGCAGGATGTCTAAGCTGAGCACCCCTAATCAGAAAATTCAAATCTGAAACTTTTAGAGTGTCGGCATGAGACTCAAGTTTTCCAAATTTGGTGCCGTGGAGCATGCTAGACAAGTGTTCTACCCCTGAGCCAAATTCCCAGCCCCAGATTTTAGAACATTTTAAATTTCAGGTTTCAGATTAGGAATGTTAATAAAATATAATAAAGCCTATGCTTTATTTATTTTTTTTAATTTTTAAAATTTTTATTTATTTTACAGTTCTGGTCCCAAATGTTCTGGATAGGGACACTCAGCCTATACTGCAGAGGGACAGAGGAACCCTTTAGTTCCTCCGCTCTTTTTTAAGGTACAGAAAGGCAACTTTTCCAGGAGTTTGACCCTGAGGGAGAACAGAGGGAGGAGGAGGAGGGTGGCATCTATGCTTTTTTTCAAATGTCTGACTGCTAATGGGAAAGTCCACAAAGGATGAAAGACTTGAGAGCAGAGGGATCTACAGAAGAGATGAAGGCAGATGGGCTCCTTCCACAGTTGCAATGCCCAATGGGGTGGCCATTAGCCACAAAAATTAATTAATTTTATTCATTTAGTCAGGTATCACTAT